AGCTGTACATCACTTTTCAAATTTCTCGAAAACATACGGGAAGCGCAAATATATCAACTAACTCCCACCGGCTCCTGCGCATCGAATGCAAACTCGTTTCCTCCATGATATTGGAAATCCTCTTAACAATACCTGTCTGCAGAGTTACACTTTCAAACCGATCCATAAAAAAAGGGAATTTTGGAAGCTGAAACCAGCTAGCCGAACAGCCTGCACTGTACCATCCAAGGATAAAGTCCTGTTTTGGATGGTGCACAGACCAACTGGGAAGGGGACGAGGTCATGGATAGTCTACTTCTTTAGAGCCACTGGTTGGGATCAGGTGTTAAGGAGCAATTTCTCTCAGAGTAAGAAAGAGGGGTCTCCAAGCATAGGAGGTGTGACACTATCGCGAGCGACGGCGCTATGGCCTTGCCTCGCACTTTTGACTCGTGCTGCCGCGCTGCCAACCTGATCAATTGCAGCATAAGTGGCGTCTGCGCCCTCTCGCGTACGACGTGCTCTCTCATTTTTTCCGCTCCTCGCAGCGCTGTGTCTCTCCGTCATGCCATGGCCGACCTCACAAGGGAAATGTCAGTGTTTCCTACGGCGCTTTTTGCTTTTTCTATCTACTGACGTTCCTCGTCGCAATTCTTTTCTGGTTTTCGAACAAAATAACATACCAGTTCAATCCCGACCCGTGCCTTCACGCTGAGCGATCAACGGGACGAAGAGTTTTATCTGGCGCATATCATTATACCAATTTCGACTTGAAGGCAAGAATTAGTATTAAACTGATGGAGGTGACTCCACTCAAATGTGAAAGTACAGGTGGAAGGTGGTCCACCAGTGGGGAAAAAGGGAAGAAAATTCTTTTATACACAAGAAATGTGAGCATTTTGCTCCATGCTGTGGAGATGTTCAAAAAACAGGCAGGGAGGTGAGGGATTATGTGGGCGCTGAGAGCGGTAGAGAAGTCCAAAAAGAGAGAGCATAGCAGATGAACGCGGCGACGCAGACACGATATCGAACGGTGGGCGGACCATGTTAAGTTTGGTGGAGGCTGCTAGAAGTCCATGGCGCCTAGAGTTTTAGTGAAGCGCTTCGATGTGGAAAGGTGGCGCTACCTTTGCATTTGACTGCCCAGCACTTCTAGCCATGGTAAGAGCTTAGTAGTGGGTCCGCCGAACTTTGCCTTTAACCACTCATGATGTTCTATCTCCGAAGTGCTATGGTCAATGCTCTCACAATTTTGCTGATCAACGAAGAAGGACATCAAATGAACTTTTGTTATTCAATTAGAAATAACATTCATTCTGCTATTTGCTTCTCAAAGTTCATTTCGTAATAATAACTAAAAAGCTATTGGTGATGACTTGACAACTGGCAAAACTAAAACCTCCGAGCAACTGATGGGACGCGCAACAATAACCTCAACGCTAGCTCTGCCACAATTGTAGCCCGCATTTTTATGGCAGCACTAGCGCTGCGGCCGACTGCGGGAGGCAAGGTTAAGGGCGAGGAGCGCGTCGCTGCGCATCGGAGGGCTTCTGAGAGCAATTTTAAGCCACACAAGCGGCATGACATCAACGGTTGTCCGCTAGTCTACCATAATCGGCGATCCAATCGCGTGAACAATCCAGGACCGTGCCTTTAATCGGCTTTGGGAGTCTCGATAGTCAATCTAAACCCCCTGCTTGGCAAGTGTTAACCACAAGGAGGCTGCACCGTGTTTACGAAACAATGCTGAAGTCGAAAATTGTTCAGAACCTTTTTGCTTCATCGCGGACCACGAAAAAAGGATTAAATTCTGCAGTCACACTCCCCCTACATTCTAACTGTGACATCGTGCGAACAACGATGTTCTATCAGAGCTCATATATTTCAAGCCAAAACATGCACGTGAATAAAAGGGATTTGTGAACCGATTTCACGCTGATGGAAACATGAGTCGCGTGGTTCCCTTTCGAAAAAAAGTGGAACACTCATTTCTTTGCTTTCATGCGCGTCTAAGGGTCACGCCCCTCGCCAAAATTCAATCCTGTGCACTACAGGTGTTAGAAGAAAAAGATAAAGCATTTGCCGTTGACCGATCCCTTTTTGGGATGCGGCACGCACTCCACTTCTATTTGTATATTCGTAGTGGCGTTTCAATGCGGTGTGGCCTGTACAACGATTTCCGTGGACCAACCGATGTACAAGTCAGTGTTTTTATCCTCCCAGACAAGTTTGGTACCAATAACCGACCCCGGAGGGATGGAAGGCTTGGTTGGCCCGGGCGACTCACGACCTAGGATTTGATCCCCGGACCGCTCGCGTTGTAAGCGTACCACTTGCCACTACACCACTTCCGCCCCAGGTGTTACCAGTATTATGTTTAAAATTCCCAAAGACCAGTTTTTGCTAGTGGTCCAATATAGAGAAATCTTCTGGCGAGGTTGTCGGTATCCACGGTTGCAGAACTTGCAGACCATCGGGGTTTTTTTTGTGAGACGCTTCGGGCTAAGTGATTGTCTACAAAAGCCGGCTGGCAGCTCGAACTAATCCACGAGGCGGAAGGTTCTAATGGAAAATGAAATAAAGACGCTCTTTTGTTCTCGGTGAAGCTGAGCTACACGCTAAGTGAAGTAGGAGCAGGGATTTTGAGGGCGAAATCTTAGTTTAGTAAATGATTTCAGAGGTTTCCCGATGATTTTGGAGCAAAATGAAGTGTGAGGAAGTGGGAAAATGGGAGGCTGACTCGTGGAAGACTGAATGTGTGCGAGACTGAAAAAATCGACAAAAACGATGTTTGATTCGGTGAATGTTCAAAATGGTTTGAGAGCTGTTAGAGATAAGACATCTCACAATGCTCCGCAAAACTCTTCGCTTTTGAAATATCTTGAAAAACGTTATTAGCATTCGAAACTGAAAAAATTTGATTCCATGAAAACTCGCATGTGGAAGAAAATACCCCGGAAAAACCTCAAGAAAAAAAATGAGCAACGGGACATTTTGTGACATGGTCTCCTTCGGGTAGTTTCAGTGATTTTTATGAGGCTCAAATACCGTAGTTCTCTATGGAACCAAAAACTACAAGAGAAAAAGGCTATAAGCACTTAAAGGCGGGAAAGTCCAATGTGCACAAAAAAGGGAAAAACCAAACTTTTGAAAGACTGATTTTTTGCAATACTAATGCCCTGCAGAAAGAGAATAATTTAAAGACTACGAACTCCTGATTGCTTTGCGCAAGGCCACTGTACAAAAAAACTGACCTCTGAGAGTAAAAAAAACGCACATTTTTTCGAGTTTTCATCTCTACTCATTAAGGGATTTTTCAATGGACAGAATAGCTTTATTGGTTTTCTAAGGGCAGACATATCGGTAATCATGAATCCACCTGAGTTTTTGCATATTCTTAATTCAGTTATGCTCATCAAGTCACGCCCACTTAAAAATATGTAGCAGTTGACGCGGTTGGTCTTCCCTATGTAGCTATAGAAAAGGATGGCGTAGCCCAATCCAGTGCACTCTGCGCTACCGCAAGCACTCGGCACGGAAGCGCTCCAGTACTTTTCAGCTCTGCCATTTTCCGAAGAGAAGGGGTGCAATTGAAATAACACTGAGAGGGGTGCGTCGTTAAATGCAAAATTATTCCAACGCGACAGTTGAGCCTGGCACTCTCCAAACACTTTAGCCGTATCCTTTACGGGAAAAATATTTTGTGGGAAATACTCCAATAAAAATCTGTGATTGGTATTCACATCAAAATCGAAAGGTGCAATTTACGAAAGAGGCAAGGGAGCCTGGGCGGGCTAATCTAAGAATGGTGAAATCAGGAGGAAGCCACTATAAGTAGAAAGGGTTTTCGGTACTGTTCAACAGTTGTAATCCGTGGTACCAGCATCAAAAAATCCCAAAAGGTAAAGAAAATTTGTTCAAACTTGCCTACAGGAATATTTTATGAAAGGACTAATCACGAACATGACACCCATTTTAGGCACCGGCCTCTCTTGGCAGCTGTTTGATGTCAATATTACATCCTGTAAAATTCAGTTCGGGAGGGGGGGGGCATCTCTTTTTCTCCAATACTCAAGATAAGGATTAGAGGGCTCACGACACATAATCGACTCGTTTACAGTAGACTTCTGATAAATATTGGTTTAATGAGTGAGAAACCTGAAACGTTTTCACATTTCCGCCTGCCATGACCCAAGGAACGGTCCTGGACCGAGAAAGGCTCTCCGCAAAGGGCTAAAGGGTGCAGGAGCACAGGGTGGATCAGCTCTGCAGAAAAGTGGGCAGGTAGTGTGGATGTAGGACATCCACCAGTCCTTACCAAAAGTTACGCTCGAATGAAGTCGGTTCACTTATCTGATCGTATGTTCAGATAAGCCCAGAGAACTGCTCTCTAGGACTACGGATAAGATAGCAATGAGTGGCCCCCCACCCCGAACTGGGGCTTCACCTTACATCCAATTGCACCAAAATTGCATCAAGCACATTGGAACCGAAAATGAATATTATATTGGTGATCAGACCACTGAATAACCTTAATGATGAAATTTACAGCAAACTATGTATGAAAAACTATGAATCTGCACCAAACGACAGCAGCGCCAAAAATTAATTTCGTATTCGTTATCGGGGCACTGAATTGCACCTATAAACACGATGTTTCGAGAGCAATAGAATTTCTATGCTTTAGGGCTGCAGTGGTTGAATAGCGCCCTTAATAGAGAGCAAAGGTAAGAACTGGTCGCTAATGAGTAAATTTGCCACATTTTTGCAACATAAATTTGCATCAAGTGCACCTCTATTTCAAGTGTGGGCTGGTGTGATGATGACAATTTCATCATTAAGGAATTATATAAACATGTGAACAGCCCAATGATGGGCTGAGGAAATGCAATACCTAAGCAGCGCTCAAAGGAGGTGGTGAGAAAGATTTTCCAATGAAATTTGATGCACTGCTCTCACAGCTGAGATCGAGCCAAACGAACACTCTCCACGGCAAGCTCGATTTTGAGCTTTAGTTGAATTTATAGGGCTATGACAGGATTTGGTTGACGTTGGCGTGACTTAAAATGCTCACCGATTAGCTGCCACTTTGTACCACGAAACTCTAAAAGCAGCTGGTGTTTACTGACACCTCCACCAACTCTCCACTGCTGCAGTGTTGATGCGTGCTGCCGTTTCAGGACCAACTTGCTTGTACCTTCCAGAAGACACAGCGACGCTGACGACAGACACAGTAAGCGAAGGGTCTGCAATAGCAAAATAGTAGAAGAAAGACTGAAGAGGTCTTATGAGGATTGAACCGTGGAGACTTCTTAAGCTTAAATAGTCGACACCATAGCTGGCATCAGAACAGGAGAAGGAAGAAAAATTTTGAGAAGAAGTCTAGGTGTGAAACAAAAATCAATGGTGGCATGAATCACGCAAAAAGTCAACACGGCTCGATAGACGAACACGGCCGCATGAGGACATGAAGAAACGATTGGCAAGCCTTCATAGTAGGTGATTTGGTGATATCTATCTATGTTTATACAAGACGTTCAAGTCGAACTGCAAAGGTGAATTTGTCGTGGAATGAAGCCTTAACAGGGAGCATGTCTGAATTAAATCGAACATAACGTTACATATGAGTCATTGTGTTAACAAGCACATCGGAAGCGACATAATTCAGCATGTAAAACATGACATCAACAGTTATTAGCAAGTTTCGGGCTACTCAAGAAAATATTACGGTTTAATGGTCCAACGTACCTTTCTTAACGTTCGTCCATGTAGCAACTCTTTCACCTGGAAGACCTTACATCCGAATGCGGCAAGCTTCTTTGCTGTCTGCAACATGTTCATTGCAACGGTTAGAAACTAATTAAATTAAACGCAAGGAGTAAAAAGGAAAACTAAATTGAGTGGAAAAGCCTTCTTAGAAATTACCAGAAACCAGCGTTTTACGCTTGCTAGCCCGACCGCCCTTCCATTATTACAAAGACTACGAAATGCTGCACTGGAAATTTTCTTCAGAAATTTGAAACAAAAGGCTACTTCGTATATCAAGCGAGTTGGCGACGGTGCGGCACAAATACGTGCCGCAACTCGAAGGGAGCAGCCTCGTTCTGCTTGATTTGTACCTTAATTTTTCTCTTCCAAACCATATTCATGATGAGATAGGAAAAATATAATATCACACAAATTACTAAAGTTGTTGACGAAGGAGTAACTATTGGTGTAAAGTTGTAAAGAGAAAGGATGGAAAAAATGCGGGCATCGGTGCGTCGTGAATTGTTGATGCAACCACTACACCTCATTTGCACAAGACATTTAAAAAGAATTGATTCATTCTGATGAAAAAAAACCTCCATTTTTTGTCTTTGGCAAAGAGCAAATAGCAGCTTCTAGGTTGGTGCATAACTATCATGACTTCACATTTTTTGCTGTGAATTCTTTTAAAATATCCCAAACATTTGCAGCTAGGCTTGGATGGCCACTTCGAATGATTTTTCCAGAATAGAATTATCTGCAAGCCTTTTAGGCAGGCGTCAGACTTTCCGACCAGTCGCAAGCAAATTGTGCGATTCGCTAGCGACTGGTCGTAATCTGAGACCTGCTGAAAGCCAATGTTTCTCATCGCTACCGCTTAGTGACGTCGATGTGTTGAGCCGTTCATAGGCTTAATCATCAAACGTTGAGCAAGAGCACAATCTGTCATCTCACAGACTGGTCCAGTCGATTCGAAGATACTTTATTATTTTCAAGTGTGATAACACCCCTCTGTCCACAGGGTGTCCACTGGCTTCTGAGAGGCTTTAAACGGCATCGTTGAAGCAGTGTAGCCGTCAGGAAATACAACCGAGAATTTTATATTTACTGACTAGGAAAGAACGACGGTTTGATCCGGAAGTTTGGAATGTGAGGTGTATCAGTGTGCGCTCTACGAGACCTGATTTCACTCCCGTACTCAATATGCAGAGCTGACGAACATAAAAAGTGTGATGAAGAACGTTATCCACGTGTACCCGAATTTCTATATTCTTTGAAGGGAGGGCGAGTATAGAGTGCCGATGATGATGTGATGCATATAGAACTTGCTTTGTGGGAAAAACATGATCCATGTCTGTGACGTGGAGGGTTTTATTATTTTTTTCCGAGCATTTCGCAAAAGCACGGAATCTTTGGGGCAACGGGTGGTTGACCCTGCATTAGAGACGGAATGTGTTATGTCAGGCCATAGGATCGCTGCAATTGTAGGTATTCTAGCCACTGAGTCCTCCCTGACAGCGGCGAGAACGGTGGAGCGCACGAGTGCTTGAAGGAATCCTTCACAGAAAAACCATGACTCTATTTCAGCCATAAGTTGGCGTGAGACTCATTACCCACCATTAGAATGGAAAGAACATAAATATTGTTTTTGTTTTGGCGCAAAATTCGAAAAATCGAAATGGCTGCTACGCGTTCAAATCGCCCACGGACGTCTTTCACAAATGCTGGCGACGGGGATGCTTCCACTTGGTTCTTGGAGTGCCTCCACTAGAAACTTTTTCAGGCCTTTCACTTACTACATTCTCATCTCACGCTTCTACCCCATCCTATTCTATCGATTGATTTGTCTTTACTCTCCGAAATCGCGAGCTATACACCGAATCCTTCATTGCGTCGCCTGATATGTAGCCGGCCAAAGGCCAACTTCTTTCCATGCCACGCCTTTGGCTCCGCCCGAATTACCTTCGATGTCCATGACCTGTAGTTTTTGGACGTTTGTTTTTCTACGAAAACCAAATCTTCATGCGTGAAACTTTGAGTGCCGTCTCCTGTGATCACAACTGTTACATTCATGTCAAAAAAAATGCAAAAAATTTCCGCGAAGGATTCCTTTGACCGAGGTTTAGATTAAGGTGTCACCTTCCGCGAAGTGAGTGAACGATAAGTGCATGGCGGAAAAGGTAGAGGTGCTCTTGCACTCTGCATCGTTGATGTTTGTGTCAGCGATCGACGATGGAATGCATCGGCGATATTCGTAGTATGCAATGACTCGGAGTTGGTCTTTTGAAATTGACATCATGTTTCAATGTAAGAGAGAGAGAACATTCTGAAGAGAGAATTCGGGAAGGTCACACATGGGTGTCAATTGAAAATCTAAAGTTTTGAAATTCTCGGAAATTCCACTAAACTCTCTTCTCAGCCTAATAATGTTATGTATAGTGTTATATGTGATAATGTTAATGTTCTGTCAATGTTCACCATTTCTGTCAATGCTGGTCTTCCAATTCCTCATGTGACATTGACGAAACGTGGAGGGGCACTCACCGTCACGTTTCGCCATTATGCATTGTTAAATGCCGCAGTGGTTCTCCCCGCCTGAAGAATGGAACATTTCTGTCTTGGTGCGATCTGTCATGAAGAAATTTGACCGTCCGACGGGAGGCCCTGTCGGTCTTCATTAGCTCCGAAAGCGATCCAGTCGGTCATAGCTGTAAACGTACGGCCAAAAATCAAAAATGTCAAAGTCGCAGGGCACGTCCTGCCTAGCGAGCTAATCACTGCCTCGAAAAATAAGCCGTCTAGTCGATTGTGGATAGGGTCAAGATTCTCTTTCGCCTACGTGCAAAGAGGAGCTATGTGTGCTGTTCTATCCACAGCAGGATAGATAACGTTAAATTCGTGCTCGCCTTTTCTGCAGCGAGCTTAATTCTATGACAAGTGCATTAGAGCAGAAAGCACTGCACAACTTGTAAGATGCTCCTGGTTTTCTAAACAATGCCCTTGACCTCAGTGAATGTTCTTATCCTCATTTTCTCCTGCAGGTCCCCACCCCCCCACGTTTTCGTTCAAAGCCCCCGTCGAGCAGGGATAGGAAGTACTATATTGGTATCATGAAGCGGCGCATCCACCAATTTTACCTATTTCTCGCACCTTCGAACACCTTCTTGAAACTTATACTTAATTCATCAGAAAACAAAAACCCGTCCAAACGCAACGACCTTCAACCTGACCTCTCTTCCCACTATGAGATAACCTTGCTCAACGCCAAAATGCGACCCCCTCCCGAATTACAAATGCGATCGCCTCGATGGAATAGTGTGAACGCACGGTTGACCCCGGTCCCGCCACAGCCTGTGCTCTGCCCCTCGCAGCAGCGACTTTCGATTATCATTCTGATGAGGTATTCCACTTCGAGTGCATACCCTATAACCTTCCCATGGAACGCGTTACAAATCAAAGCATGGCGTTTGCTGGTATGACGATGGCTATCAGTTTGACATGTGCAAAAGACCTCCCCTTAGGTTGCTAGCTCCTCCATTATCGAAGGTCAACGGGCAAAGAATGAGGTCCCATTCTGCGCATTCTCGACGGATTTCTTTGCTTTTTTTGGCAATGGGGCATTATTCAGCATTCCTGCTTTCAATATGAACCGAATCCAATCTTATCGTAATCCCTCGCTTCAAGATGAATTGAAGTCGATTGATGCGTGTGTTGAAGTTTGGCTTCTTGAACTCAGCTGCCTCGGAAAGGCCAAAGAATCTTGCCCGAATGATACGATTGTGTGATCATATATAACACTTCGGAGCAATCGGTACGTCATAGTCGTCGCATTGAAGGCAAGCGAGGACTCGGAATGCGACTAGGGTTGCTCAATATCAAACCATCCTTCTATTCGTAGAATTTCTCAGCAAGTTGACAGTAGAAAAGGTTATCAGTCAAAGAACATAGGACGGCATATCGTAGTTACAAAATATAGTGCGAATTGACAAAAAGGTACCATTAACATTGGACTCACAAAAAAGGAATACACGGCATGGTTGCCTTTCCACTTTTTCACTGGAGCTTCGGTTGGAAAATGGAGAGCAGTCAAGCAGAAAATTCAATGCCAGCATTTTTCAAAGTCAGATTTTCAGGTAAAAGTCTTGTTCAGAGTAGGGGGAATTCCACTGCATCCCCAGATAGTTGAGGTAAGAGGGAGAGCGCTCATGACACGTAATCGAGTCATTTAGAGTATACTTTTGATAAGTACCTGTGTAGCGTGGAAGTAATCCTGACCTGCTTCCAACCTGAACCAAGGGTTCTGAACCATAATCTACTCTCTAGCTCCTTCAGAACCAGTGTTCACGGTTTGCGTTTAAAATGACAAAGCCCTCAGCAAAAATGAAAGAAAGTATTGATAATTCTTCCAGCAACAGAACCGAAAGCAGTCGTGCCCATTCATCTGATTCTGATGCGATTCTATTTTGGCCACTGTTGGCTCAGGATTTCTCGAACCCTGAGCAGCAAATGTTCAACATGTAAACTTGATCAGATCTATTAGTTTGCATTTATTGGTTTAAAACCGAAAAATTCGCCGCTCTAGGTCTACGCTGTGTAGACAACATTAGCGATTGAGTTTTTTTCTCCGAAAGAATACTGCTCTTCGGCTTTTTCAAAACTGATAGCACTCCATAGAGTGCCATTTCACCTTCTCGTTTCAGTAGTTGTCTATGTATGATTTTAACTCACTTGTATATACAACCTTTTCATTCCGATCTCATTTTCGTAAACTTGGCTGTGGAACAACTTACGCTTCCGTTCCTGAAAGACATGAAACCGCTGAGTAACACATTTAGTTTTAGAGATTCCTGTCATAAGCCCTAGATCAATGAAGATTAGAAACCTGTATAAGCTTTATTGCTCTCCGGTCACCACGAAGGTCCAACGGAAGACATTGAGCTTGAACCTGAACTTGAATGACGTTAAGTAGTTGTTGTAGAATAAGAACACTTTTATTATTGCTGTTGCAAACAGTAACACGACGCGTGCGGAAAGAGTACAACCCTAGAACGGGTCTACTAACCAATTTGGGATCTTCATTTCTTGACGCTATCGTCTGAGCAAGAATTTCTTGATACCAAGATATTCTTGCTCAGACGATGGCGTGAACTAGAGGCTAACTACCTGCTTTCTATTGTTACGTAAACGCATCAATTCGTGCCGTTGGAGCACCCATTTAGGACGAGATTGGGTCACCAGTTTACTTCTTTTGCATCGTTGTAGATATTTGCAAAATATGGCCTTGCGTAGCCGTGAAGACCCTCCAATTGTGACGGGTTTTCTAATGGTGGTTATTCTTAGATTGATGCATGCATCGAGTTACATCTAATTTGATTCCGTGGCGATTATCACAGCCTTTCCATTTGGATTTAGTAGCTTTGAACACGAGGCACTCCGTTTATAGTGCCATCTTCGGCCTACTGGCCACTCTTTATATTTCAGGCTCAACTACATGCCTAAAAAACACAGAAGCCCACCTACACGAGGTAAGCAAACTAGCCCTTTTGGCGTATCTGCAGGGGCGTTATGCTGAATTTCGGGTCGGAGATGGGGTCCCCGAGCTCGACGGACTGCTTGAACTCGGTCGGTACCGTAGAACAGTGATGACGAAGTGGTGCAACAAGGTCCATCAGCTTCGCCAAGGGACAGGTGTGCTTACCCCATGACAAAGCCTTGGACCTGCGCTTTCTCGCAAGTCCGCCCTCTCTCCAAGGCTTAGTCCTAAGGTAACATCGAATTGAGGCGGTTATTAGGACCGAGTTGAAGTAGCCCGTCGACTGTCGGAGACCCCATTTTCTCCCCAACATTCAGCATACGGCCCCAGCAGAAACGCCAGACGGGCTGGTTTGCTTACTTCCATCTACATTCCCTTCTTATAATAATTCAGAAGAGCTAAATGAAAAGATTGTTCTCGAGAAAATGCCTCAGTGCACCCATATTGGAACGACTCAAGAGTAATGGTATTCTATGAAACAAAAATCCCTCTGGCCTTCCTGTAAAATAGTCAACTAGTGAGCCTATTGGTCAATTATCAGGTCTATGAAATGCAAATGGTTTCATTTCGCAATCAGGAAATTTAACTAAGCACATGTGAATGTCGACGACACTAACTAATGCATACGCATAATAGCTATCACTTTTATTATTATTAGTAGTGAATTCACTATTCCTCAACATGAGATTTTCAGGACTGTGCGGGTGACATCACATTACATCAGGCGGCGCTATTTCTCAGGGTGAGGCATAAATATGGTGACTTGAACCACAGCAAATGCATTTAGTTAACAATGAGCAGAGCTCATGACTGAACTCTCATTGTCAGGTTCGCCATTGCATTTGGTATATAATGACTTATGGCTTCATGGTATGGATCAGTTTCCGTAGCATTCCGATTTTAAGAAAATTGCCAAGTTTGTAAACAGCCATTCTGAAATAGCAATTGTTTGAAATGATATGATCTAACGCTGCTTTACGCTGGTATCCCGGTTCGACATTCCTGTTTCGAAGTGGGCCCCAGTAACTTTGTCACCGTATTTATGCCTCACCCTGTAGTAAAGCCACAGACGAGCGCTCGCAGCACCTAAAACCAGGGATCGCGAGGGTCGAGGGCGGTGCGTTTAAATGATGCCATCAAATGCCAATTGTGAAAGGGCGCTCAGAGGCGGTCCCAACCAATCCCAGCTGCTTGAAAGCGGAGTTCACGATGAAAATGCCTACCAGAAATCGAGGTTGAGGGGGTCAGTGATGCAACGGAAAACTCAAGAAACATTGTTTAAAACCTGAGAAATGAGCCCTTGCCCGTTGACCGCACCAACGCTAAAATTATCTGATGGAGCTACTTAGTCACGACAAGAGGGCTGAGCGGGCAGAGGCGCGGTTATGGTCCTGCTAGGCCGCTGGGAACGTACCTTTCACTGCGAAACGTTCATCGTCCAGCACCTTTGGGGAGCACGACTGCCTAAACTTTTGCAAAATGGTTCTAGACCTCATTTTGACTAGTAGCACGCCGTTTCGACTGCGAACACGTGCTGAAAACAGGATTCTGGGGATAAATTTCATTAAACCACCAATGCTCCAGGGAGGATCAGAGGAGGATTGTATGTTAACCTCAATCGCTCGACTTCACAGCATTTCGACATCTTTCGGCAATCGTGTTCGACAACATGTTTGGCCAACAGAGGATTTCAAAACCTTTGACCGCCCACGCTCCACCCCAAACAAGAAGCAGCACGACAAGTCATATTCTCAATATACTCCTCATAAGACTACCAGCGAAATGTTCTGCCCAAAGGAGGTGTTGTCTCATCTGGTGCAGGAATTCGGTTCTTGCGACATTACGCGAGCACCATCTCAGAAAGAGCGAAAGCGGATGGAGGGTTTCTCTTTGATATTGCGTGACGCAATGTACGACAACCTTCTTATCGACGTGAGGAAGACAATTTCGTGGAGGACGACCACACTGACCCTCTCTGGTCACCTGAAGATGACAGTTTCGGCACAACCAAAAGCGAAGCATCATTCCTAATTGGGAATGTGGAAGTCCCAAAGGAAAAGGTAGTTGAGAATGTTCAAGTTGTTGTTTGTTATTGTTCAAGTGCATAAACAGCAGTCGGTAATGTAGGTAGAATTCGAGCGCCAAGGGAGGCCGCACATTTTCTGAAGAAGCCGTCGCTTTCTTGCGTTCGAGCGCCAAGGGAGGCCGCACATTCTCTTGCATGAAGAACAGGTACCGCTGGATAACCAACGAGTACCACATGCGGAAGTTGAGAAAAATGGCAAAAGAAAGTGAGCATTTACAAAATTTAGAGTTGGCACTTTTATGTTTCTTCTTGCGTAGCAATGAGTACTAGGTGAAATTCGAGAAGATCGATGTGCTTGTTTCCGACGCTTGGCAGAGAAGCTGAAAGAGGAGGTTCTCACGAAGATGAGTATGGGAATCGCTCTGCATGATAGCGACATCCATCAGATGGCGCTGAAGATCAAAAGGGAAGGTTCCCTGGTCGACAACTTCAAGGCGAGCCACAAGAGGATTCAGGGCTCCAAATCGAGCTGTGGAATTGTATCCCGCCGCGTTACCACTTTCACCTCGAAAAAAGGATTTCTAGACAAAGATCGCATCTCCGCTGAAGCCCAATCCTTCGTACTGAAGGTCAAGAAAGGTGAATAATAAATAGTAAAATTTCAATTCAGCCAAAAAAATTCGGATATGTTGCAGTATTCGCATACCCTTACTTTCATGTAGAAATGAAGAACTGTGCTTTGGGAGCAATATGCAACGAGGATCAAAGCGGAGTTGTGAAAGAACTGCATTCTGCAAGAACCCTTGCCTTCAATGGTCAGAAAAAAGTTGAGAGGGTGGCACAGTCTGTTTCGGGGATGACTCACTCATTTACCGTGATGCCTACTTTATTCGCCGATGGCCGCCTCGCGAAAAACCTCTATATGGTTATGCAGGTCAGCTGTTTGAAAGCCTGACCACTCATTTATTCACTTTCAACACCTTAATATTTAAATAGGAGCCTAATGGACGACTTCCTGCTAAAGGTTGTTTTCGCGCCCCAAATCAGGAGATGAGGGCCAACACCTCGCACATGATGACCAAAGAACTAATGTTGGATTGAGTTAGGTCTTGCATCGGATCTACGGACTCTCCTTCTTCTACTCTGCTGATCGTGGACTCCTGGAGCTCATTCAAGGATCATGAAGCTATGAAAGCTGCTCTGCCACAGGGCAGAACGGTGGAGATTCTGAACATTCCCTCTGGAGCAACATCACAAGTCCAGCCCCTTGACGTTTACTTTTTCCTGCCTTTTAAAGCTACGCTTAAGCGTTTCAACTCGTACGTTATTGCTCATGATGTGAACTTTCGGTTAAGCACACGCGACTCCATAATAAGACTCGTCTCATTGGTCTATTTCCTATTTAAGGCACCTAGATTTAAAAATTTTCTTTCCTACTCATGGCACGCAGAAGGGTACCTTGAGACACACCCGGGCGAATTTGAGACACCTGTACAGTACTGTTTTTCATCTCAAATGGAAGAAGCTTGTGAAAGTAATGACTGCAGTGATCCTCTCTTCATTCGCTGCTCACACTGTGAAAAGTTTTTTTGCTTCAACCATTTTGTAATAGGATATCACATGTGTTCTTTAAACGTTTCTAAATGATTTCAGTAATACTCGCATTGAATAAAGTCTTCAATTCCTTTACATAAACGGAAGATGCTTGCGGTTCCCATTACGGAATTTTCCGTGGAGACGAAAGGATAAAAGGCAAAACATCAGAATTTGAACCCCCCCCCTCTCTCACGTCCACGTAGCGGCTCGAGTTGTTCATGATCGCACTCCCCAGTCGATAAACGATTTCGCAGCTTCGTTCAGAGAACCGCAGATTTGGAGGGCGGATTCGCATTCAGCGTCCCAAGATTGGTACAGGAATATGCATCCCACCTCCAAAGGCCATGCCGAGGTGGGATCCTTTCCTGTTAGTTGATGACTGTCCTGGGCTTCGCTTCCTGAACTTTGCTGCTCTCTCAACACGCATCGAGAAGTGGAATCTTGCGCGGAGGAGACGATGATCCGATCCCGTGTAGAACTTTGGAACAACAGTGACGTCGGTCAGGCAAAACCTTCGTTTGAAGATGATGTGGTCTATCTCGTTATGGAACTGTCCATCAGGTTACTCCAAGTCCAACGAATGTGAGGGGGCTTTTGGAACTGTGAGTTACCATGCATGGTGTTGGTCGACATGATAAACTCCGACAGTTTCTCACCCTGCTCATTCCATTCCGTGAGCATAGATGTGGAGTTCTTCAG